TGTTCTGCTCCCCCCTCTGTCTCTGATGAATCCTCTCACTGCCCCTGCACCTCTGGCCTGTACTCCAGTTCTGTATGCATAAATAAAAAATAAATCTTTAGGCCCTCCCTGGTGGCGCAGCGGGTTAAAGCACAGCACTGAGAATCAGAAGCCACTTCCGCATGAGTTCGATTCCTGCCTGCCGCCTGCCCCGGAGGAGACCACATGGCGAGCCAGACCTCTCCTGACCTGCCCACTGCTTCCCTCAGCAGTGTACTTCGTCATCGATCTGCCTGTTCTGCTCCCCACTCTGTCTCTGGTGAAGCCTCTCACCGCCCCTCACAGCCTCTGGCCTGTACCCCAGTTCTGTATCAATAAATAAATAAATCTTTAAAAATAAAATAAAATAATCAGAATAGAAAGGCCAATGAAGGTAAACCTAAAAATGTCTTAATATCTATTTTGCCTACTAAAAAAATCATGTCATTGTATAATTGTGAGTGAACAAATTATAAAATAGGTTATTTGTATATATACACAAGCTCTAAAATTCATGTTTTTATACGATTGATCATTTTTTTAAGATTTATTTTTATTTATTTATACATACAAGAGCTGGGGTGTAGGCCAGAGGTGTGGTGGGTGAGAAAATTCACCAGAGAACAGAACCAGCAGATCGACTGAAATACACTGCTGAGGGCAGCAGTGGGAGGGTCAGGGGCAGTCTGCTGTGCCATGTGGGTCACCTCCCTGACAGGATAATCTCATGCTGCAGTGGCTGCGGAGAGCTTCACATTGCTGCACTTTAACTAACCCTGTGCCACCAGGGAGGCCCCTTGGTCTCCTTTTATAACATAAATGCTAGGCAAAAGCAAGTCAGGCTATCCAGAACAGAGAAGAATAATTAGAAAACTATTTAAATAGAACCCTCTTTACACCTATATTATTAAAGATGGTTGAAGAACCATAGAATTTTAGCCAAGGAAGGATATCTTAGAGTTCATTCAATCCAAATCCTCACTGTCTCAGATGAGGCAGAGATAATTCAAAGTGATTTATTCAAAGTCTTCTAACTAGAGAAAAACAAATTTAAGGATACAATTTATTCTTTCATTCACTTGTCCACTAGGAAGTCCTCCTATGTCATGTGAGGACAGTAAGTGGTGAGTTTGGTTGCTGGCTCAAAGATCTATGGGGATGGTATCAGGAAGTATAAATATAAAAGAGGCATAAACTTTACTCATCAGTGTATTTTAGTAAAAAGAAACAATGCTTAAAACTCCAGCTGTATTCCAAGAACTCTTGTTTGAGAGTTTTAAGCTAGAGTATTATATGGAAAAAAAAAAAAGGCAAACCCTTCATCAAAATGAGATCCTAATTTACAGATTTCCTAAGATTTCCAAATACTGTGTGTCTTTAAGCCATACCAGCGACATCAACACTGTTTATTATCCTCCTTTGAGGCAAAATTAATGCATGATTCTTAAATACTGGCAATTGTATAAATAGAAATGAGGAAATTGCTTAAACTTTTACAAATTTGGCACAGAAAGTGTGGTTTTGCAATTGATGCTAAATAAACTCATGTGTTTAAAAAATGTATGTTTGTTTAGAATATCATAAATACCTGAACATGGGTTTATAAAAAAAAAAAGGCAAAAAAAAAACTTGTGTTAAGTAGAGAGTAAGATGGTAATAAAATTAATCTGATGAGAGAAATAAATCATTATAGTTGCAGAAAATGCCAAGGTCTGAACAAAGAGTGAGAAGTTTGTGATCAGCTGTGACCTAAGTCTCTGTCACTGGTCCCTTTTAGGCAGCTCAGAATGACATTGATTCAAGTTCCTACGTGCCCAGTAAGGATTATAAGGATTGCTATATTTTTAATGATGACAACTAGTTTTTACTACTACCCACAACATGGCACAAAACGTGACTGGCCATGGTGATCTCGCACACTGTTCTTGATTTTAATTGATTTGTTAACAACAATCATTGTTTCCAAATGACAGAATTGAATGTGAGCTCTAGACAAAAGTTTTTTAAGAGGATTTTGAAGCAAATGTTTAAAATAAAATCTTTAACTCCTTTACCAATTTGTTGAATCTGCAAGTACCTGCATATAAATATATAATAAACCTTGAAAAGTAGGAGTCTTTAATTTTCCACCTACTGATTTTACTGGGAGAAATTAAAACAGCAAACAATTGATGTTGAAATGTCAAGGCTAAAATGTCACAGAAAATCAAGTACAGAAAAGTTGCATCTCCTGTTCTGAGTAATCCAATGATGCAGTCATCAGCGTATCTTTAAGGATGTGGATGTGACCTTACATTGCAGAGTTTCATAGCTGCAACCTTAATATTTGCTGTCACAGTCCTTGAGTCAATACTTATGCCCACACAATAAAGCAAGTTTCCATTTCATTCTTGAATTCACACAGGTAAGTGGTGGGTATGAGTTCAAACTTAAAGGTACATTATTATACTCATCTAAGTCCATTAACTTCAGTGCTGTTTTCTTTCTGATTTCTTTTGAAATTAAGTAATTCTTTACGTGCTATATTCCAGTGCTTGGTAATAACTCCAAACAGCTCTGGAAAGAATCAAAGACCGTGTTACTACTTGGTTAATGACTATTCAAGACCCTTACTTCTTCATGCTTCAAGTATTCTTTTTTGTAAAGTGAAAATTATATCTGGCCCAACTCCACAGATTGCTAGAATAAGAACACTTAAAGTGCTTTGGAAGAGAGGCATATGAATTTTTTTTACTCTGAAAAGCAAATGATACAAAACAAGAAAATGAACACAGAAAGTAAATAATAGAAGAACTTGACAATTTTGGTCAATATTGATACTGGTCATTGTCTTTTTTTTTGTTGTCTAATTTCAAATTCATCTGCAGTTTGACAGTGGTTAAAGTTTGTGTGTTTACTGCCAAGTGCTATAACATTCTTTAAGATCCAGTAATACAGGGAAACATGCAGGGATGTAATTCACCACTGTGAAACAGAATTTCACTTCTGTATCTGCCTCCTCTCCTCACTATAAACTCTGATATTTGATGTGAGCACAAAGCCTCATTTGTTTTGGCCCAAATATCCAGATATGTGGGTGGACACATTCTACCAAGGAATGTCATCAAAGTTCATATCTGTAGATTCCACAGCATAGGGCATCTGACAAGTTGCCTCTCTCAGTATACTATGAAACACTTTTGCTACCTGAAAATAGATTACTTCTACAACCACCTGCCCCAGCCATGTACTAAGCTTGAGCGGCATAAAAGGCTATTTGCTGAATACTGTGGAGAATGAAAAGATGACTACATGAGTTCTGGCCCTTGATAAGAACTTCATAGGCCCACATTCTTAGATACAGATCTTAGGCTAAATCCTCCTCCAAAATAGACTGTTTATCTCTCTGTCCTCAGGGCTTAGTGATGTAGTTTGGCTAACTGAATGAAAGAATAGTTGAATGGATGTTCTAATGAAGATGTTTCCTGTTCTAGGATGTTTACCCACAAGAAATCATTTCTAGCCTCTTCACAATTAATCCCAACAGCTAAGAATAGTAAAGGGAAGAAAAGGGGAAAGAAGGATCTACCATAGAAACAGATTAAAGAGGCTGAAATACAAGATTTACAAAGAACTCATGCAACACAACCAAAAGAAAACAACTTCTCTAAAGAAAAGAAAGAAACAGATTAAAGAACAAGAAGAAAAATGGAAATTGAGGAGGAAAAACTTGGGGAGAAGGGAAAAGAAACACTATCTAGAAGGGATCCAGAAAAGGAAATTTCTGCAGAAACCTTTAGAAGAATTCAGTTGATTCTGAATAATTAGAATAAAATAGGTATTGATCTTTGTGGGGAGAGAAAAAGATTTAGGTGGAAGAAGAATGAAAAATTAGAAAAAAGAACTCATGTTTCCTCTGGCTTCCAGCAAGTGCCTAGCCACTTGGGCCAAAGTGTGGAATTTTACATAATGTTTCACAGAATTAAGCATCTTATTTGGATGAGGAAGGATGTGAACATCTGTCACAGGATCTCTGGCTACTTGCTGCCTTCACTACTTAAAGCAGCAATTCTCTTTTTGATCTTCAGACCTCTTTATAAACACTCTTTAGCATTATCAAGGATCTCAAAGAACTTTTAGTTATGTGAATTAGATCAGTATTTATCTTATTACATATAAAAACTGAGAACTTAAAAAGAAAAGTTCAAGATTTCAACATAATAGTTATGTATTTAAGAATAAGGAAGTTATTATGATCCTGGCAGATATGGCCAAAGATAGCTAATAAAAATTAGGAAATACTGAGAACAAAAGTTAAAATCTCTATGAAAATGTACAATTGACACTTAACTCTACTATCATAGAAAATCTACTTTCACAAGACTATACATGCAAAAGGACTCTATAAACAGTGATGACATCATTGAACAGCAAATAGCCTCTGGAAATTTCCATTGCACTCAGTGAGAAACAGAGTGAAAAAAGCAAATCAAATCTTGTACTCATAATGTAAATAGTTTTCACCTCAGACACCCCTTGAAGAATCTTGGAGACGTCCCAGGCCTGGAGGACCACGCTGAGAACCAATATGATCGATTAATTTTCAGGTCACTTCCCATTTTATATCACTAATAATGTGTTTTTTTGTTTTTTTGTTTTTTTTTTTTGATGACTATTGTGTTCTCGTTCCCGGATCACCTGTTGAAATACGTTAACCTAGAGTAAAGACAAGACCCTTAGCCTAACAAAGCGAGAAGCCGGGGTTCGACCCGCGAAGACGCTTGGCTTAGCAGTGGGAACAGAAATTGCTCCTCTGAATTTTCCGACAACTCCTGATCTAGAAACAAGTCCAAAACTTGGCCAAGGCGGGGCCAAAACTGGCGGCTGGCGGCCGGCGGCCGGGCTGGCCCAGGATTGAGCGCCGGAGAGGTGGCGGCGGCGAGTGAAGCGCGGGCTCGGAGAGGACTCCTGCCAGCCCGCCGCGCGCCGCAGGTGGGCGGACCCCCGGGAGGGCGCGGCCAGGTGTTGCCCAGATAGCCGCCCCCTCCCTTTCCCACTGCTCCGCTCCTCCACCTCCCGGGATCCAGGCAGGAACCCGCGCGATTCCTGAGTCGGACCCCGGGCGCCTACCTCGCCGGTGCGCGGAGAGTTGCTGAGATCCCCGGGCCATCGAACCCGAGGGCCTGGCGGTCTCAAGGACCACTCGACAACGGGACTTTGTCCCAGGAGCATCTGGAACATGCACCGGGAGCTGCAGGTGCGGGGCGCGGAGGCTGAGCCCCGGCGGGGAACGGGTTACTCGGAAGGGGCCTCCAGGGCGGACGGAGTACGAGTCGTAAGAGACCCAGAGGGTCGCCTGCGGCCACAAGTGCCCGCTCAGCCATCTGCCCAGTCCGGGGGCGCGGCATTTGTCCCCGGGCGTTCTTGGGGCCCGTTTTCCTGGCGCGGGTCTGCCCTGGTGACCGAAACCACGCGCGGGGAGCAGTGGGTGACTCAGTTCTAAGAAACTCCAGGACTGAGCCAGGGGTTTCTTTTGATTGTTTTGTTTGTTTGGTTGGTTGGTTGGTTTTTAGTCTGTTGTTATTTTGTTAGTTTATTTGACAGTTGCCAGATTATGTTTACGCTTCTGGTTCTACTCGGCCAACTGCCCATAGCTACCGTCGCGTTTCCGCGTTACACAAGAAGTCCGAGGGAATCTAGGCATGCGGGAGAAGAAGGTAAGCGTGGTTTCAGTTTCCCAGAAAACACTCTTGGAACCGGGAGCCGCGTTGATATAGATATCAAACGAGAAAGTGCACTGTGTGAAATTACATTCCTCATCAATCATAGAAGTACTAAAATAATCCTTTAGTTTAATTTGCGGTCTACTTGGTAATGTGGTTTGTTGGTGTAAGTATAATTTACACAAATTTATTTCTGCAAGTTTCTTTTGATAAATATGTGAAGACCTGGTTTGTGGTTAACTATTTCAACTTCTGAAAATCAGAGAGGACGTTCTTTCTAGATGAGACTATTTGGTAATTATAATTATAATTGCTCCTTCTTCCTGGAAAGATGGCATGAGGGAGCTTGGAATCGTGCCTGGGCTTGTAGTGAGACCCTGGGCAAGCTACTTACTGACTCCTTTCAGCCCGATCTATTTATTTATTTATTTATTTATTTATTTATTTGTGAAATGATGGAGATGGAGAGTGGGCTGGTTCTGGGGTCCTTACTGATTTTAAAAAATGGATTATCTGAATAAAGTCTGATGACTATCCGAAAATTAGATTTGGGACCCACTAAGCTACAGTTCACATTTTATGGGGCTGGTTCCTGTTCCATAAACAGACTAGTTCCTGTCCACATTTAAAAAAAAACAAACAAACAAGAACAGCACACACAACGAGGGCTTTGCCTCTCAGCTTTCTCCTCCCTAACTAGCACCCTACTAGTGCTGGGGCTTGGGATCTGCTTCCCCATACTTTCCTGTCCCTTATTCCTTCACATTAGATGCTACTATGAGCTCATTTCATTTGGGGAGGATCTACTACAGTAATAATCCTAGATGACTTATTAATCATTAATACAGATTAGTATGTTAAGCCTTCCGATGGGTGTGTGTAGAGGTGTGTGTGTGCACACACAGGTGTGTGCGTGCGCAGGTGTGTGTGTTTTAAGATAGTGCAATATCTTTTAAAAAAAAAAATTTATACATACATACAGAACTGAGGTACAGGCCATAGGTACAAGGGTGAGAGGATTCACCAGAGACAAGAGTGGAGAGCAGAACAGGCAGATGTACTGAACTACACTGCTGAGGGGAACAGCAGTTGGGTCTGAAGAGGTCTGCTGCACCATGTGGCAGAGGATTGAACTCATGCTGCAGTGCTGTGCTTTAACTGTTGAACCACCAAGGAGGGCCCAATAGCACCATATCTTAGGGACTCAAATCCTTTACTTAGGAAAAATACTAAGTAATAGGACATAGGCTAGTTAGTGGTATAAAGATATTTTGGAAGGAGATTCTTCTTAGAACCACCCAAGTACACTCATCTACAGGGTTAATAGTTCATGCTCAGTAGGACCAAATGCTGATCCCAAAATGCTTGTGAGAATGTTCCTTCACATTACACAAGCATAAAAGACATTCACAAGGATATCACAAACTATAGAAGGAATGTGAGCATAGAAGGTCGGAGATAACTGTGGGAGATATAAATGAGGGCATATGTATTTTTTAAATGGATTTGTTTATTAGTACATACTGTGTGTTTGCTATAAGTTGCTTCATGCTATATGCTGACAATGAAAGGCTATGATCCCAACCTGGAGGATTTCTCCACCTGGTGGGAGAGGCAGGGTGTAAACAGTTTTTATGAACGATGAAAGAGGTAAGAATGTTCAACAGCAAAGAAGAGTAAACAGCAGTATTTCTGCCTCAGAAGAGTTTTATGGCATATAAGCCATTTTTTTTCTATCTGTAAATGAGATATAATAAATGGAGATAAGAAAAGTAACTAGAAAAGTAAGAGATCATCAGCTAAATTCTGATAAAGTCCAAGGGTGGAGCTGAAATGACTCAAAAGGGAATTTATTTAGAAAACATGAGAAAACTGAAGAAAGGAAAGAAGTGGAATGTCTGTCTTTGTAGATTTGAAATGGCAAAATGCACAGACAGCCTTCTAGGATGGTCTCTAGACAGGAGAATATAGATGGGAAGAGAATCAGAGGGATAGAAACAAAAGTGCAAAGGTCAGTGCATTCTCCAGCAATGTGCAGAGGGAAAATAGGAAGTCTTACCGGAAGTTCAGGAAATTCAGGTGCTGAGAAGTTTGAGTCTTTCAATTAAAAGTAACTCAGGTTTACTTAGAGCAAAAATAGCAAAGTATTTCTCCTGAGGTCAGAAAAGAAGTGACAAATCATTTGAAAAAGGCACTAAAGGTGACCCAATTAGAACACCAAGGAAGTGGCAAATAGCAGCTGGTAAAAGGTACAGGTAATACAGGGGTGAGGACTCTTTTATTGGAATAAATATCATTTCAGGAATAAAAATGCTTGTGACTCTCTGTCCTTCCAAATTGAAAGTAGCTTTATTTACTCACATATGGAAGGCAGTGCGTGGTGTTTTTACAGTTCAGATAATTTACTTACAGATAACCAGAAGACTCATATTTGGTGCTTTCTTAGTAAAATTTAAAGATCTGGAAATACCTGAGGAGCAATACAAAGGCATATTTCTTATTTTCCATTCTGAAAGCTGATGTCATGTAGTCATATTGCTAAGTTAGGCAGGCTTTTAGTTACTCCATCTCTAGTACAGGATTTTAAATCTATACCAGCCTGAGTAATACCAGGTTAGACTCATGTATTCCTTAATTGGTAGAATTTAGGTCCAAATTTTCTTCCCACTACAAGAAAGTTGAGTTCATTCATTCATTAATTTAAGTTTTGTTTTTTTTTTTTAAGTTTTTTTCACTAGGGTGAAGGCCAGAGGGGTGTGTGGGGGGGGAGGGTGGGAGCAGGTGGTGAGAGGATTCATCAGAAAGAAAGCAGGGGACAGAACAGAAGGATTTACTGAAATATACTGCTAAGGAGAGCAGTGAGCAAGACATCAAAGGTCTGCTGCATCATATGTGGGTCAGCTCCCTGGCTGTAGATCAAACTCAAGCCATAGAGGAGATAGCGCTGAGACTTAACCCCCTAGCCACCAGGGAGGCCCCAGTAAGTAATTTTATTTTTAATCATCTCTTTTGTGTCAGGCACCACCATCCCCTTTTAATGGAACATTAGCAGAGTGGCAACAAAACATGTGTAAACAAATAGCACACCCAAGGTGATAAGAGCTATGGAGAAAAACAAAGTATAGTGGTGGGTGGATAGGGATGGAAGGAGATAAGAGGACATGCTGAAAGTTCTATTCAGAGTAAATAGTAAGTACAAAGGCAGGAGAGAACCAGGTGTTGGAAGCCAGTATGTCTACACCAGAATATTCACCAGACTATATGGGAGCAAGGAAACCACTCAGAAGGTCATTACAGGAATTCCAATGAGAGATGATGAAAACTTGGAAATTTTTTCATTCTACCTCCATTTGGAGGTGACCCAAAATCTGTAAGACAAGGGACAAGAAAGAACAAGGGACAGGAAATATTTTACTTGCTTACCTTTTAGAATATTTCTTAAAATGACAATTGCCACTTACTCCATCCTCTTTCCTTAATTTAGATAGAAACAAATAGTCCAGAATGGGGCCTCCCTGGTGACCTTGGGGGGCGGGGGTTAAGTCTCAGCAGCATTACACTGTGGCCTGAATTCAATCCCAGCCAGGGAACCAACCCACACATGATGTAGCAGATCTCTCCTGTCGCTCCTGCTGATCTCTCAGCAGTGTATTTCAGTGGATCTGTCTGTTCTGCTCCCTATTCTATCTCTGGCGAATCCTCTCAGGCCCACACCACTAGTCTACCTCCCAGTTCTTCTACGCAAAAAATACACAGAACACCTTATAGAATAGTCTAGAATTGCACTGACCAGTAGAAATATCTCAACCACATAAATAATTCAAAATTTTCTAATAGCACATTGAAAAAGTAAAAAGAAATCACTGAAATTAATTTTAATAAAATATTTAAGCTAATATATGCAAAATATATCATTTCTCGGTATAAAAAATTAATGAGAATTTCACTTTTTTTTTTTAACGAGTCTTTGAAATCCCATGTATATTTTATGGTTATGGTATGTCTTACTTAATTCAGACTAGGACTCACTGGTCATCTATGACTAGTGGCTTCTTGAAAAAAAAGCAGTTCTATAAGATTCAGACTTAGAAAAATTATCTTGGACAAGGAGCTAAGAATAAATAACCAACCTGAAGTCAAAAGTCAGTATCAGTCTTCTAAGCCCTGTCAGCTTTCAGTTGTCCACTGTAATACATTCTTTCTTTGGTAATAGCAGTGAGAAATAACAATATTTTTAAATTCTTTTAAACGTTTGATACAGTTCTCAGAGAGCTTCTAAGTGCCAGTTTTTAGTAATGTGATCTGGAGCAAGATAACAGAATCTTTGTGACGAAAAAACAAGTTAAAAATGTGTGGGTTTGAAAAACACTGCCATGGTGGGATATTTTGGTTTTGTGTCAACTTGTGCTTAAGTCTCTCATGTTTACCATTTACATTCCTAGTCTTAGAAGGTTAAAAAGTGTTGTCAGTTTTAGTATAGATTAATATAATGATCTTCATTTGCATATATAAAATTATAAAATTTGGGGCCTCCCTGGTGGCGCAGGGGTTAAGTCTCAGCACTATGAAGTTATCTGTAGGCACTGCAGCACAAGTTCAGTCCCTAGCCAGGGAGCTGTCCCACATGGCACAGCAGCCCTTTCCTGTCTTGCCCTCTGTTCTCAGCAGGTATTTCAGTAGATCTACCTGTTCTGCTCCCCTGTTGCTAACCTACCGAGGGGTGAGCTGACCTCTACGTTCACCTGAATGTTGGAGACTCTGAGTCGGGAGAGAATGAAACAGGAACCTGGAGTCTGGAGTCCGAAGTCTGTTTATTAGGACCGCCCATGGGGGAAAAAAAGAAATGTGCCTGATGCAGGGAGTGGGTGCTTGTTTGTACCAGGGGCTTCTTGTAGCTTCTACTTGAAACACAGTAGAGGGCTGCAGCTATTTGCAGGACAGAGTGCACTGTGCTCTAATGACTTCTTTGTTGGCCTTACTGGGGAGTGTGCTCACCCATGCACAACATTAGCCAGGGCGGATAGGTGCACTTGAGGCCCTAGGGCGGACAGGTGCACTTGAGGCCCTATCCCGAGTTAGCCACACTCCCCACTCTGGTGATTTCTCTCACTACCACCACCCTCCCACACCTTTGGCCTACACCCAGTTCTTGTATGTATCAGTAAAAAGAAATCCTTTAAAAATATATGAAATTTAGACTTTTATAACTTAAAGAGAGCTTCGTGATTATTTAGTTCATATCCCAATTTTACAAATGAGGAATAGAAATTCAAAGATAAAAGTGACTTACCCCAGGAGATACAGTCAATAACAAAACCAAATCAAAACCTACCTCTGTGCTCACCAGTGGCGACTGCCCAGAATAGACTGCTTGCACATGCCTCCTCCACTCCCTTACCATCATGTCTGACAAGCACCCTATGCCTAAGACTGAGAAAGTTGTTAAGTCAATGTTTCTAAGGCAGAAATGCAAGAGAAAAAGCCACTGACTTCCAAAAAATTATTAAACAAGGGAAGCACCCAAGTGAATTATAAAGAGGCGTGCACCATCCATACACACATTGCACAAACATTGCCTTCTTATTTTACTTCTTTCAGCTGTCTTGCTTTGTAAAATGCAAAAAAAGTTGGATCAAATTTAAATGATTGTGTTGCTCTTTTTCACATTAAAGAATAGAGAACTTACAACTGACGCCCACCCAACCTTTCCCATCTTCCCATCTACCTCGCAGAGTAGAAAATGACTTTGCATGCTGATAAAGGAAGAAACTGAGTAGGCCAATAGTAAAATCTAAAGTAAAAGCCAAGTCGGTCCAAGGTGTGTGCAGGCTGCAGTTAGCATGATATTTTTTTGTTATTGTTCAAAATCACTTAAATTGTTGGAATGCACATGTTTTTAAATATGCAAATAAAATGTATTAATAACTGAAAAAGAAAAGCAAGAATCTCTGTCCTCTCATAGTTCAATACTCCATTTACCAGATTAATTCTTCTTAGCCAAGATAATAGGGAACCTGTCTGGTCTGTAACTAATTGTAAAAATAATTCACTGGAGGCAAAAGTGATATTTAAATATTTTCAGTTATGCTAATAATGTTGAATATAGCCAACTCAAGTATTTTCTGAAAGGTCACTAATAAATATTTCCTATTTTCAAAAGTTATTTTTGCTGATTGTTCTTTTGTCAATTTTTTTTATATTTAAACATACAAGAACTGGCCAGCGGTGTGGGGTGAATCATAAAAGCTATAAAAATACAGGCTATCAGTGTGAGGTAGAGGGCTGGGGTGGTGAGAAGATTCACCAGAGACAGAGAGCAGAACAGGTAGATGTTCTGAAATACACAGCTGAGGGGAGCAATGGGCAAGACAGGAGGCGTCTGCCGTACCATGTGGCTCAGCTCCCTGATGGAAGATTGCACTCAAGCTGCAGTGCCTGCAACTGGCTTCATAGTGCTGTGCTTTAACCCACTGCACCACCAGGCAGGGCCCTTGTCAGATTTTAAAACCATAAGAAAGTTTGGTATAATTAGACCACATCGAGAGTACGTCACTTTTTCCACAATTAAAACAGAAACATTTGCCTTATTCTTATCAACATTTGAAATCTTTCTATTTCTCTATTAGTCTTTGCATCAAAAGAAGAAGCAAACCTTTTCATACATAGACACCTCCTGTATAACAGATTTGATCTGGAGCTCTTCACTCCCGGTGACCTAGAAAGAGAGTGCATAGAAGAATTCTGTAATTATGAGGAAGCCAGAGAGATTTTTGTGGATGAAGATAAAACGGTAATTTGGTGACTGATGTTAAATTGCCTGGAAATTTATTAAATTGTACTTAAGAAAATAGCATTTCTGTCACTAGAGATTTTATGTTTTAAATAAAATCAGGTCTGTGTACCTATTATCTCTTCTGTGTTCTTAAAATGTTAATTGACCTATTTAGACTTGGTTTTCTACTTAATTAACTGGGTTTATAATAATAGCAAATTCTTAGTTATGTTATCGTTTAGTATATTTAATGATTATGGTCTTGAAAAAAGTCATGGAGCAGTGAATGAAATGTCAGGAGATTATTTGAGTTAGTCCTTTGGGTCAAAGCACTTTCTCTTTTTGACAAGAGAAAGTGCTTTGACCTGTTTTGATGACTTTACCTGTTTTGATGACTATATTTATTCTCAAATATTTATTCACAACCAATGTTGTCATTGCCCAGTGCTCTACTAGACACTAAAGGGACAAAATATAAGGTCCCTGCATTCAGGAATATATTATTTGGTCTATCTATGGAATCTAAGGGAGAAACTTTTAGAAATCCTCACTTAAATCAAATCCTGTTGGTTAATTTCAAAAAGGTACAAAATAAACAGGCAGCACTGTCTGTTATGATCTGTCATATTCTTGAAGAATGTGAAGTGATCAAAATTCTTTACTTTTGTAGATTAAATAACTCAGCTCCTTTCCCCCTTCCCTGCTAGTTCTCATTTTACTCATTGGGCAATCAGAACCTCTCCAGATATCCTTTAATATAACCTAGTTCTTTGTTCTTCCATAACTGAGTCCAGCCTTGCAGCCCCTGCAAGTGTCTGCTCCATCTGTTAGAGAAGGAAAGCAAAGCATATAATTTGTAGTGGTGACTGTTGAGATTTTGTTGCTTTTCACAAATCCTTTTCCTGACTTTATCTAATTATTTTACAATTCACTTTCTTTCTCTCATACAACAAACTCAGCTTAACCACTCAGATTTGGCCTTCCATCGATAAATATCTTTCAACAAAATCTGGCAAACTGAGGACTACTGAACTGAGGAAAATTCAGGTTCCTCTTCAAACATTATGAGTCCACTACCTCAGCTTCTATCTTTGGTATTTTCATTGACTCTGAATGCAGTGGCTTCCTTTGATGTCTGAATGGGGACACGGGGCAGGTAAAGGAAGAGTAACAGGGTTCAGTAATAGAGAACTACTACTGGCAGTAATCCCCCAACCAGTTGCAGAGTTGAGAGAAACAGTGGCAGTATAGAACTTTAATTAAAGTGAGTCACACCCTCCAGCTTGAATGAACTGGTATCCTACCAGTGGCACATGCCAAGAATTTACTGCCCCAGGTCTAGGTCACTGGGACAAAATGAAATGATAATAAAGAAATTAAATAAACTTGTAAAATTTACCTTTCTCTTAGATGACATTTTGGCAGGAATATTCCATTAAAGGAACAATCACAAAATCAGGTAAGACAGGAATTGATGAAATGTAATGTTTTTTTCCCACCCTCTGTCTGTTATAATACATTTAGTTTCATTGTTTTAAGTTTGGCTATTACTCAACAAACATGCCTTGTAAATCCAAGGAAGATTTCCCAATTATACAAAGGGCTATCTCAGACTGAGAAGGCCACATTCATCTATTTGCACACTGAAAATCAAGTTTGGTGAGATACTAGGGAAATGAGATAATAGGCTGTTTTAAACAACTCAGCTAAGTCAGGACTTGCATTGAATAAAAGTAGGACTCCATTAGTTTCAAGTAGTAAACTATTATAATTTTCTTTTTTACCATTACAAGTGAATAGGATACTTTGGCTACCAAGTGATTTAAAACTTTTAGAATTAAGTCAGTTCTGGAAAGGAGAAAATCTTTTATTTATATTGATCATTTCTAGATGCTTCTTAGGTAGGTTGTTTTGTTTGTTTACCAGCATTATTTCATTCCCCTTAGGTGGGCCCCAACCATAGGGAAACTGTATTGCATAAACATATTTAATAAATTTCTCTAATTACACTTATCTTGGTAGTTAATATCAAAATATCTCTTGGTAAATAGATATGCTTATTCCACTGAATGTTCACTATTATCCATTTACCGTGATCTATGGACCAATTCCAAAGAATTGAAACTATAACTGGACTCTTAGGAAATGTCATTTAGAATTATTTCAGGTTATGTCTCTAGCACAAAGACTGAAAAGGAATTAGCATTAATTTTTAGACACTTAATAGTGTGCTTAGGTCCAGTGTTATATTTATTGAGATCAGTTGTTATATTTGTGTAATATTTATGTTATTCTAATGATTTCTCTTAAGAAGGAAACCGAGAGAAAATCGATGTTATGGGCATTCTGACTGGATTAATTGCTGCTGGAGTATTCCTGGTTATTTTTGGATTACTTGGTTACTACCTTTGTATCACCAAGTGTAACAGGCAACCACACCCAAAGTAAGTACCTGGCAAAAATATTTTATTCAGTACCATACATTGTATACTGTTATTTTTAAATGGATCTAGCACATGCCTGCTATTTAACGAACTTTTTAGTTTGGAATAATTTTAAATATACAGGAAAATTGCCAAGATAGCACAGAAAATTCCCATATATCCTTCACTCAGTTTTCACCACTGTTAGCATTTATGTTTACTGCAGTACATTTATCAAACAAAGAACCTGACCTGCTATATTACATTATTTTAAGATTTACTTTTATTTATTTATACATATGAGAACGAGGTGTAGGCCAGAGGTGCCGGGGATGAGAGGTTTCACCAGAGACAGAGTGGGGAGCAAAACAGGCAGATTGACTGAAATACACTGCTGAGGGGAGTGGCACCTGGCCAGGATCAAACTCATGCCACAGTGGCTGGTGATAACTTGATAGTGCTGAGACTTAACCTCTGTGCCACCAAGAAGAGCCACGTGTGTTCCATTTAACATTGTGTTTAGTTGTCGTATCTCTTCATTTCCCTCTATTCTACGGCAGTTGTTTGGTTGCCTACCTTAACACTTAAATAGCTGAATGGTGTCATTTCTAAGGTCCTACAAAAGAATACAAATGTTAGCTTGATGTTTCAGTATTTCATTCACAAGCAGGATGCAGATATCAATGTCCTCCCATGGTTTCCAGAAGCAAGAAGTCCCTTTTTGTTGTTGTTTTTTGTTTTTTGTTAGTTTATTAAGACTTATTTATGCCTAGAAGAACTAGGTGTAGGCCAGAGGTACTGGGGGGTGGGAGGGGGTGAGAGAATTCATTAGAGACAGAATGGGGACCAGAACAGGCAAACTGAGTGAAATACACTGCTGAAGGGAGAGGCGGGCAAGACAAGAGAGTTCTGCTGCACCATATGTGGGTCAGCTCCCTGGCCGGGGTTCGAACTTAAGCTGTAGTGGTGATAGCTCTGAGACTTAACTCCCTAGAACACCATTGTGGTCCCAAGAAATCCCACAGTTTAACTGAGTCACAGAATTAAAAGATCTGGACATGGGGCTACCCAAAGAGAAGCAGAGTTATTAGCTTTTGATTCAACTATCTTAACTGATTAAAATAAAATGGGATAATAGAACATGAAGTAAATCTCCATAAACTTTCATTAAGGCCATAATTCTGTGATGCAAACACATAACAGAACCTCAGAATCCTTACTATAAGTAAATGCTGTTATTAATCAACTCAGTATGTGTAGATGACTAAGTGTAGAAATAACCTTATCCAGGAAAAGCACCAGATGCTAAGCAAGCTATTCAAAATTGATGCTTATTTTTCCCTATTCACACTTTCAAGTTCTTCAAACAAGCCCATGGTGTTGATTAGGTGGTGAATGGGTTCTGGAGAGAGATGGTGGTGGCAGCTGTGCAACGTGAATATAACTATTACCACTGAATTTTCAAACTTACAAATGGTTAAAATGGCAATTTTTTTTAATTTAAAATTTTTTTATATAATTCTTCATTTCGTGTATAAAATGGCAAAATTTATATCTATGGTGCCACAATAAAAATGTTTCTTTGTTGTTAAGGTAAGAATGTAGGACAAAAGAGATGGAGTTAGAATTCATCTGCTCAAGGACAAAAGCTGAAACCATGAGAATAGACAAGTTTTCTAACTGTGATGAAAGGACAGAGGCAAAAGTTGGAGCTTAAAGAATACCCACAGTAAGGGTGCAAAGAAAAAAGTGCTTGCAAAGAGAGCAGGGGAGTCCACCCCCCAAGCTGGAATTCCTAACTCTGTGAGTCATTGATGTGACCTACAGCCATGAACGAAGGAGTGTGCAGGAGTAGGGTCGGAGAACCCATTGCACATACAGAGAAATGTAAAAAAGCTGCCTTGGCAAGCAGCAGAGTAATGAAAATAAAGGCAAGCCCTTAATAAGGGAGGTTTCAGAAAGGAAGCACAGGATTTTTCAGATTCACTGGAAAGCAGGCTGCAGGTTAATTTTTGCAGAGCATCAGGCCTCCCGCACACCTGTGACTATGCAGGTGCTCCTTGCCGTCCGCTTTCTCCTTCTGCAAGCTAGTGGCCCTCCTACCTGCCTGTGACCTATGACCATGCTGGAGCTTCTCTTCACTGACCTCCCTTTGCAAAGCAGCAAAGGCAGCTCTCCTCCCAAGGCTGCCTGTCTGCAACTCTGTAACCTCTATTTTAGCAAACCTTTCCCTTTTGGTATCTGTGCAAACATTCTTTGCCCTTCCGTCCCTTTTATAGTAAACCTGCCCTTTTGGATATGAAAAAAGAAAACGATTTTTGCAGCGAAAGGTGATATGATGGAAGTACTCTTTGGGAGTGGATTAATCAGCAGTATTAAAGGGGGCAGAAAAGCATCAGCTTTTAGATGATCTCTGTGGTATCAATTACCTTGGCATGGAGTTGTACCACCTTTCAACAAAGCCTGGATTTGGTTTCACATCATACTTTGTGAAAGTTTTAATTTGTGAGAGGAAAAAAAGGGAATTAACATTCTTGAGTCCTAATTATAATTTTTAAGACAGTGCCAGATGCTTTCCATACAACATCTTCCTCAATCCATACGAAACAATTCTGTTGTGGTAGCTGTTACTATCTCTGTTTTACAGAAGAGGAAACTGAGTTAGGTAACTCACTTTGTTCACAGAGCTATAAAGTGACAGGTTTGGGGGCCCTCCCTGTGACACAACAGGCCTGCTAGGGAGGTGACCCACATGGTGCAGCAGACCTCTCCTGACCCTCCCACTGCTCCACTCAGCAATGTATTTCAGTCAATCTGCCTGTTCTGTTCCTTACTCTGGCTCTGGTGAACCCTCTCACCCCCCACACCTATGGCCTGTACCCCAGTTCTTGTATGCATAAATAAATAAATCTTTAAAAAAAATAATAAAGTGACAAGTTTGGGTTTCACATCCATATCTGACTTGAGAGCTTTTGAGCTTTCAAGTTACCAAACTTTTTTAGAGTTTATGGGAAAAACAAACCTGTTTTATGTTAATTAATTGGGTTCAATTCTTATCACAATAGTTAGTTGGGTTTTTAAATATTGCCATCATAACCTAAAAGTGCAGCCTTGCCTAAATCTAAAAGCTCTCTCTGTTTAGTTCTTCAGCTGCCTACATAAGAAGGGACCGATACGCTCCCTCCATCATTTTCAGAAGTCCTGAAGAAGCTTTCTTGTCTCCATCGCCTCCTCCAGCAGAGGACCCGGGACTCCCTACCTATGAACAGGCAGTGGCACTGACCAGAAAACACAGCGCTTCGCCTCCACCCCCATATCCTGGGCCAGCAAAAGGATTCAGGGTATTTAAAAAGTCGATGTCACTCCCATCACATTAACTCAGCTTGCTGTCTTAGTGGTATAAGGAAACTCATGTGATTTGCATACTTCATTTTCCTGGGACCAAAAAAGGACAAGTCACTTCATCCTTTTATGACATTGTGCAAGGAGTCAAGGAGGAATAAGCATGTGTACTGCACCATGGAAGTTCTCTTGGGATCTTGGACCTGAATTGTATCATTTTCATTTTCTTGAAGTGAAGAAAAGAACAATTTTTAATTTATTTTAATGGTTACAATAATCTGTTTCATGGATGGCATAGCAAGCAGTGGTAAACTATACTTTGTTCAGGTAAAGGCTGTAGATTTCTTATGCTGAAATTAAAAACTGAAGAATTTCTAATCATGAAGTCACCCTAAGTTATAATATTGGATCCTCTCTTTATTAGGATTTCTTTTTATTTGAAAGCACTTCTTAGAATTTCACATTTCAGTATACATTGGTAGATTTGATACATTCAGTTCCTTTTATATTTTAAATAATCAATGCATAGCATTTACCATATTTTGCAGGTTTTAGTTGTTAATTCTTGTCATCAGTCATTTTTCATTATGAAAGTGAGGTCAGTATTGTTCTTTTATAAGAAAATAGCACTTGTTATAGGGTTAATTCTTCAAAGAGTACAGGTTGCAATGGCAAGAATTGTTATACTAACAAATAAATGGGTCTCAAACCTAGAAATGACTAAAACTTGATACAATTACCCTGTTACTGACAAGTAATGGCCATTGCTATATCATATATATAATACATGTAGTTATTTATCTTGAAAACCTGTTGAACTTTATAATTAATAATTTGAAAACCTAGAAAAGTCTTATTTTTCTGCTATGAAAGTAACACTGATTAAAGTTACCACCGTATCCCAACATCTGAACACAAAAGAAAAACACCATAAGTAATCTTTTTAATCTATACTTTGTCTCTTCTTCCAACCCTATATACCACTACTTTTTCCTTAAGAAAGTCTTAAACTTCTGCTATAAACCTTTGGAATGAATGTATGTGTACACAAATGTTTATGAGTGGGTATGTATATATATGTGAACTTGTTTCCTTTTTGTAAGAGCTCAAGAAATAACATATTCCTGAGTTATAGAAAATTCTGTTCATTATGTTTTGTCAGGTATTGCAATTTCCTATTATTTAAGACCATTTATAAAATGGTGTTTTGTTTTATAATTTTTACAGAAGTTAGATGAAAACCCACATGCATTTGGCAATTATTTCCAAATTAAATGTTTAGAAAGTACTTATTATAAAAGTGTGTCTGAGTCTTTTTTAAAACAGCATGGTTTAAGGCAATAAAAATATAGCCTAATCATTACAGATTGTCAGAGTTTCCTTGGTTGTTTGTTCCAAAAATACCAACTGGCAACATCTAGATATAATTAGGAAAAGTGGTCTTTTTAAAGTCATATACACAGGCCCTTCCTGGTGGTGCAGCAGATTAAAGCAAGCCAGCCAGCCACTTCAGTGAGACTTCAATCCTCCACCCTGGAGGTGACCCACATGGCATAGCAGACCTCTCCTGACCTGCCCGCTCCTACCCTCAGCACTGTACTTTGTTGATCTGCCTGTTCTACACCCCACTCTGTCTCTGTGCACAGCTCCTGTGCCTCTGGCCTGCACCCCAATTCTGTATGCATAAATAAATAAATCTTTTTTTAAAAAAGTCACATACACAATACCTATAAGTATTATACTATAATACTTTGGCTTTGCATACGCATTTTCCTCATGTAATTTTGCACTCTATCTTTTAGTTATTTTAATCCACTTTAAAATGTTATGGGCAAATTCTGCATAACTCACTTTGTAATAATCAAACAAAGGCATGGAAGGCATTAAATTTGCCCCCAAATTTAACATTGATGGGAGGTATGTTTCAAATGAATAACACACTTTTTTTTTTTTAAAGATTGATTTATTTATGCATACAGAACTGGTTACAGGTCAGAGGTGCAGGGGCAGTGAGAGAATTCACCAGAGACAGAGTGGAGAGCAGAACAGGCACATTAACGAAGTACACTGCTGAAGGGAGCAGCAAGCAGGTCAGGAGAGGTCTGCCACGCCATGTGGATCACCTCCAGGGCTGGGGATCGAACTCACACTGATGTGGAGGCTTGCAGTGCTGCATCCTTACCCGTGTGCCACCAGGGAGGACCCCATCATATGAATAAACACACTTTTTAAGTCAGTCTTGTGCCTATAGATTTCCACTCTCTCAAATAATGAAATTAGAGGATCTTATTACGTAAACCTAAATCTGCAAGAGAAATTTACAAGCATTTGCCCTATATTTATGCATGTATGTAGGGCTATATATATATATATATATCTAGATAGATAGATAGATAGATAGATAGATAGATAGATAGATAGATAGATAGATAGATATGTTCTCACAATATTCATTTCTAGGATAAATAGAAATACAAGAACTGATGTTTCTTTTATTGAATCATAATATGAAATATTCCATGACTTGTTTACTCCCATTGACTCACAAGAGTGTAACTGCAAAATAAGCTTCAGAACCATTGACAACCCCAGCAACAGCCTAGATTTGTTACATACCATATTCAGAATAAAACTTGATCTAACTTGAATGAATCTAGAATTCATCAAGATTGTGAAATGACTGAGTTTTGTAGAGTACTCAATGCCCAATGTTGAGCTTTTGCCCTTTAATCATAACACAGGAAATTGATAGAATCATAACTGAAAGTTGCCTATAGTACTTGAAAGAAAAATGTCTCAAAATTATTCTCATACATTCAACATTTTGTCTCATTCACCTTTTTCTACTCCAGTTAATTGGGCTAACTACTCTTGTATAAGGTAATACCTTCACAGAATATTCTGTTTTCAAGTGAAAAAACAAAACAAGGACTACAAACTCTTCATCAGAGTGTTGTACCTATTCAAGACGTGCTCCGAGTGAATATACACACCTGAGTGCAAACTCCCATAACAATTAAAAACAAAAAACAACATTGTCCTCCATGACTTTAGTTTCTTGTTGATATATAAAATTCTAATAAATTTTCTACTTCTCAGATAATTTATGTGTATATACACTTTACTATATGTACAAGTGAAATTTTTTGTGCAAAAAAGTTTGTGTAAGTACTTAACAAAAGCTCAGTTTTCATACTATACATATTGTTTTTTGTTCTAATTGAATGAGAATTAAATTTTTATTAGTTTTATTTGAAATGTTGTTTATGGAATTTATACTATCAGAGGAATGTCCAGAATTTCTGTAATTTTTCTTTAAAAAACTAGATTCTTCTGTGAATCCTGTATGTGTGACATCTTTGGACATGTTGACGTATATTAATGTCTCAACCTTCTGTATTGTGTTGCTGCCAACACTTTTGTTTCCATAACAGTTTAAAATAATTCAGTACAAATATATCAGTATTATATCCAAAAAAGCAACCCATTTTTTGAATTTTTTTTCCCCATTAAAGATGCTAGTGGATTTCCTATTCACTGATACTTTTTATAATTGTAAATAAACTTTATACTAATATTTATTGCTTGTTTCATTAAGCATTCCTATTTCTCATATAATGGTATAAACTGACATATGCCATTACATGGATTAAATGCATACAGCACATTGCATGTTATAAAACAATGCTCACATGCATGGTTTTGCTACATATCTTTCACCAGTGGACTATTTAAATTATTTGGCTGCAGTTGTGCATTTCCTTTTAAAGATATGACAACTTTATTTTTATATTTGCATAGAAGAACTAGGGTGTAGGTTAGGTATGAGATTCACCAGAGACAGAATTGGTGGCAGAACAGGTGAATTTACTGGAATACATTGCTAAGGGGGGCAGTGGGTGAGATACAAGAGGTATGATGTGTGGCCATCCTGCCAAAAGCACTATACAGATTGAATGCCATCCCAATAAAAATCTCAATGACATTCTTCAAAGAAATAGAAAAAATGTTGATGAGATTCATATGGAACAACAAAA